TACCAAAGTTCAACTCCCCAAAGTTTCAGCTGCTGCAATATTTCACCACAGAACACCTTCACAGTTTAAGTTATAATACAACCTATTATTTTAATTGAAAGAACATGACAGAAATCACTCACATCTTCAGTGTTAACAATAAGTTTTGCAATGAAGAGGCGAATGTTCAGTGGTACTGATGGGTTTCCTAACTTGCCATGCAGAAATTTCATCCAAAGAGGAAGGTCTACTGGAACTGTTCCCTGAAATAAAAACGAAAAAAAGCAAAAAAAAACCTTACTACTAGAATTAAACAGGCTTATCATCCAAGTTTCATTAGAATATAGTCAGTTTTTTATATATAGCCATACAAAACAAAGGCATTTCATTGTAATTTCCCTTTTTGGTTCAAGCAGTGAACATGAGCAATCCTTTGGTTAACACTGACCTCCTCCACTCTGGGTGTGATCTGGTTTCTCTGCATATGTTTAATCAGAGTGGTCATAGAAGCCATACATTCATGCTGGTTGAGCTCATCCATTTCCAGTTCCGTCTCGTCATCTAAAGCCATGTATTCTGTGGGCTCCTGAAAAATATTGTGATTAACTAAATACATACACTGCACTTTCTTCTGCATCAAGGTAATGCCATGTGTCGTGCTGATTTCATCTCTGTTTAAAAACTTATCTCTGCTTTGATTGCTCAAAATCAGATCTGTTGTTCAAGATCCCAAACATACACACCAGTTGTGCCTAGCTTTTACTTTCTTTGCCAACAGATACCAACTGCACTTCGTTTTCACTCTGCCCCCCCTAACCTTGCAGGGAGTAACTAGTGCAAAGAGGAAGAGTTAGCTGAAGCTCATGGAAAAGATTTCATTTCATAGCTGAAAGAACGTGCCAACATTTTCTGCAATGCAATTTAATTACGACACAACTCCCAACTTCCAATTTTAGCCAGGATTTTACACAAAATCCAATTTTTATGGACAAGTTATTTCCCCCTCCCTAGCAATCTTTACATGCACAGAGTAGAGAAAATAATGGTTTTTCATTTAGAAAGCACATTATTACACAAAGCAAACAGAA